TCCTGAAATTAAAGAAAAAAATCTCCGTGGATTATATTTTGTACCATTTGGTGAAGTAGGTGAACCTACTACTCAAGCTAAAGACGAAGAACTGGCAAAAAAGTTATGGGATTTTTCTGAAAATTTCGTTAAAGAAAAATTGGGTGCTAAAATTTTTAGTAAAAGTTTTGCATAATGCTGGTATCATGACTGGTTTTTATTTTTTTTTATGCTTTTTATGTTTTTATATCGATATAGTTTCATATTCATATTTATGTATACTAAAATGTATGCAACTTCGCATTTTTATAAATAATATTTGTTATATTAAATGAATCATGCGCCTGTCCCATGCGCTGGGAGTTGATTTTTTTTTTTTAAAAAAGAGGTCTTTATCGTGTATATATATGATTTACAATTTCTTGTGAATAATACATTATTTTTTTAGGGAATGGTGAATAAAGCTATAGCTATGCTAGTTTACTCTAGACCTAAATTTTAGCTAGATAGGTCTCAACCTCTAGTCTATGTTATATATTTGTTCGGGAGAGTGATCATGCTCAATATAGTTATTTAACCATTTGTTATAGCTTAATTGTTCACTAAAGGTGTGTTTCCATTTACTTTGATTGGATATTCGATCTGTTTGTCTTGGGTTTGTTGGTGGTGGTAAGGTTTGCACATTATTATTATGGGTATATAAGTTTATTTGTGACAGAATCCATATTTTGTCATAAATCTTCTTTATTATTAGGTGACGAAGTCGAACTGCATTATTGATAGTAGATGTATTCTGTTTTATGGGAAATAAACATTTAGTAGTTATCACCCCAAGTGGGATTTTGTCATGTATGTGGGTCTGTGTGAAGTTTGTGATGAATTGTTGATAAAGTTGGTTATTATTTTGTTGTGGGTGTTGTTGTACCTCTTTAATTGCATTGGTAATTAGTTGTTAAATAGTTGTTGGGTTGGAGGTGCAGATTATCCAGTGTGTTGAATCTTCGGGGTAGTTATGGTAGCATAAACAGGTCATAGATATATGGCAGTTAGGGTGTCTATTGTGAAGATTAATGAGAGTAGGTAGCTCTTCAGTGTATCCATGTGCTAATCTTCCTTGCTTTTTGAAGATATTTTATTATTCTTTTTATAGGGTGTGGTGTATTATAAGTGAGTAAATGTGGGGTGAAGATATTTGGTAGTATTAAATTTTGTAATAACTGGTTGTGGGATAGTGGGTAGTTTGGAATTTGTGGGCTCGAATTGTAGTGAAATAAATTTGGTAAGTAGGATGGCATTTATGCTTTGTAGATATGTAGTAAAGTTTTTTTTTCTTAGTTATTGAAGGTCAATTAGATTAGTGGTCTGTGTTAAATTTGTGTGTTTTAGATATTTTAGGTTTGTATATATAGTTAGAGTTGATTTATTTGATACAATAGTAAGTAAAACAAGAAATAAGGTAAGTGCAACTTTTTGTGAAATGAGTCAGATTTTGTTTTGAACTGTGAAGAGTGCTTTATTACTAATAGTTATTATTGCTATTGGGTATGTTGTTTGATTATCTCTTTTTGTTAATATTTTAATGGTGATGTTGTATATTTTTTTTGGATTCAAATTGTAGAAATTGATTCTAGATAGTTGTTTATATATTACTGAAAGTATTTGATAATCTATATGAAAATTAGTATTGGGCCAGAATATATTGGTAGGGATTTGAAATTGTTTAAGATTGTTTTAGTATTATTTGTAGCATTGTATAATCAAGAAACTAGAAAGACAAAAACCATTAAAAAAGAAATGAATTAAAAGACTAAAGAGCCTTTTTAGACCTATAGAGAATCACACAAAAAAAAAGAGCTTGTAATTCATAAGAAAACAAAAAATGAGCCTTTAGAATCAAAGCAATTAACCATACTATACCTACTTTTCAAAAAAGAAAAAAGATTATAAAGCTCTATATAATAAAACTATTTGTCACAAATATCTAAAGAATCTAAGACTTTTGAATACATCATAGCATGACCAGTAGACCTAAAGCTTTAGACTAATAAAGAAGTTATTATAGTTCAAGAAATCTGGAACTTTTTAGAAAAAGAAGAACAAGATAAAATAGAAAAACCACACTTGCAAAGAATACTACTAGGAGCAAACCAAGCAAACATTAAAAGAAGAGAGCTGCTAGCAAGAAAAATACTGATACTAGAATACAGAGACACACTTAAAAGAAGAAATCTGAGAAAAAAAATAATAAACTTTATACTGCAATCCTGGTTAAACAAATAGATAACACTCTTTCAAAATAAGATATAGAGACAATAATGTGACAAAATTTGTAAATAGAAAAAAGATATAGGAATTATATCTAAAAAGAAAGAAAAGGAGTTCAGATTTAAAAAAAAAACCCAGAAAATCCAAAGAAAAAAAAGTGAAAACATTATGAAAAACTCTGAGAGGAGAATTAAAGAGAAAATAGAATGGGAAGAATGTATATATATAACTATAAAAGAGATAGATAATTGGATAAAGACAGAAAATAGTAGTTAGTAGAACAAAAAATAAAAAGATTATGACAAGCTATAGAACTTAGTTGATGAGTTACCAAATAAGACAAAAATGTCAAATTTGGTAATAAGATGAATTCTACTTTGGCAAGTTACATATAGATATCTCCAGTAACTAGATGAGCAATATTTTAATTGAAAGATACCTTAGTATCAGAAATAGTATTAGCATTAGTATATATAACAGATAACTATTATCCTATTAATAAAATATGATATGATTACTAAAAAAAAAAAAAAAAAAAAAAAAAAAAAAAAATATTAATTTATTTGTTTTTTTTTTTAAGTGTTAATGTGACTTCTTGAGTCAGCAAGTTTTTATTAAGTAAGGTATAAGCATTATATATTATAATAAAAGTATATCAAGCTATGTACACTTTTGGTGCTTAATTTAAATTAGTATGCAAACTATTATGTAAAGTGCCTTTAATACAACTAATAACGTTTGCAATGCAGATTTTCATCAGCTACTAAGCGATATTTTTTCGAAGTGGATAATTATGAAAAAGGTTGGTTGTATAATATATGTCTGCGTCTGTAGAATTTTGTAAACTCAACTACTTTTCCAATCTGTTCAGAACAAGAAAAAAACGTAAAAAAGATTCAGAGTTACCTTCCCTTATCATTTTTTACACTTCTTGATAATCTTATTAAATATCATGTTAAGGATAAGAAGTTACTTATTTATTGTCCTTCAAAATGCATTGGCCTACTAGTACAAGTTTACCACAATGTTTTCAATCAGTTCCTGTATAATTATTATAACGAAGATCTAGAAATATGAAAAGAACATTATTAATAGGCTCTTAAGTTCATTTATGAAATGGCAGACATATATCCTAGTGAACATGAGCATTCTAAAAAATTTAGAGAAAAATTTTGACAATTATTTGGCAAAGAATTAAAAATAATTCACCTAGATGATGAATCTTCAAATAATGGTATATTGGAATATAATTTCTATTCATTTAGTATATTATGCCTACTTGCTAAAATAAAGAATAAAATTGGCATCAGTAAATATGATCTGACTACCCAGGCTGGGACTTCTTATGCAAAATATTATACCCAAGAAAAAAATACAGAATTGCTCAAATGGTGCAACTGGCCATTTTTTATCTTATGCTTAGCTGGACCTTGGATGTGTGTTTTAGAAGCGGTGTATGTTGAGAAACCTATTGTAGATCTCTTAATGGATCTCATACCTCTCATTCCTACAAATATTCGAGATTATACAGAGCGAGTGGCATGACTATTCAAAGCTTTGTGTTTGGGGTTAATAGGCTAAAGAAGTATTATGAATCGATAGCAAATCCACAAAATTCACAATAGTTTTTTCCTTATCTGAATCAGCACAAACAACAAGATACAACTAAAGAATTTACATATGAAAAAAAGCTTGTAGATCAGCTAGACAAGCTTCTTTGGAAAGCTATAACAAAGGGCAGAAGGGAAATTGTTGTTAAATTCATGTGGCATTATAATCAGAGAGCACACAAGTTGTATAGCGAAATTGAAAAAGTGCTAAAATTACTTTATATTAGCAAAGAGGTGGTGTATAGTTTTTATATAGTCATAATGGATTATGTTAAGGCCAAGCCACTTTACAACTGCAATAATTTGCTTAGTCATGATGAATTTAAACCGGTTTTCAAGGATATTGAAGAAGCTATTAAGCAAATTGTATAAGGAAAATATCATTTTTGCTGACCTCTATAATTCCAACATCTTGGTTAACAAATCTCAAGATCAATATCAAGAAATATTAATAGATTTCGATTGGGCTGGTGAGGAAAAAATTGAGTGCTATCTATCTTTCATGAATGAAGATATTAATTGGCCACCAGAAGCTAAAGATAGGAAGAAACTGAGTCAGGAACATGATATGCGTTGGTTGAAGTTATTGAAATCTAATTACTTAGGTGAAAGTGTAGAGCTCAAATAATTAGTTAGCATGGTATTTGAGAATAAAGTAGAAAACAAATAACTATGCTAACAAGCTGTGCATATATTCAATATAATTTGTTTTTAATGATATAATAATAAATGAATCCTTGGATTAATCATATTTATAAGTTTTGGAAATAATATATACTTATCTCTCTTGCCTTGGCCTACAGATTAAAATATCTATTACCTGTTTTGTTGATTATTATGAATTTCTGCTAAAAATTTCAGTGTTTTCGATTTATTACTAAGAGGTCAATAAAATTTACATTAAGTTTTTAGCAACATGGCATGTAGTACTTGTGATAGAATTTGTTCATTTTTACTTTTATTCTATATCAATAAAGCTGACTGGTAGCTTGGTTTCACATATATGATCATGTTTACTTTTGCATATATATTTCATGAATTTATCTTATTGTATTGTTATCGATGTATATTAACTTGTATATGATTGAGAATTTTTTGATAGAGCGTGAAATTTTTTCATGCAGTCATGTGATTTTATTTATTTATTTTTGTTTATATAGCATATATCTTGAAATTTCATTACATAAATATATATCTCCATGATAAAAGAATTAAATATATCTGTATTTTATATAAAAAAATAACAAATACACAATCTAAAGATGATTTATTGAGAGAATTGAATTACAGACTTGTAGCCAAGATTACTAAAATTAAAAAGAAATATGCTGAGGTTGAAGCTGAAAATGCTTCACTTAGAAATAAAAATGCTGATTTCTTAACTAAGGAAACAGGGCTTTTGGCTAGAATTATGGAATTGGAACAATCTGCAAAAGAGAATGAAAATAACAGGAAGTTAAGAGATACCGAAATCAATGAGCTTAGATCCAGAATTTCAAAATTAGAACAGATGCAATCGCAAACTGATGAAAAGAATAACTTTATTGTTAAATCAGATGACGATGCTAAGGAAATTAATCAATTTTCAGTTAATACCATTTCTACCAAAATAAAAAATTCTAATGATACTCCAGCATCTAATATATCTGATAATACTTCAAATTCTGATAATGTATCTAACTTTGATATATGCCAGGAATCAGAAAACCAACATCTCACATCTCCTATTCTTATAGAGTCTAAATCATTAGAAGACATAGAAATTGATGATTTCATAGATTCAATATATAAAAAAAAGGTTAGTAAAGAGAGTCTTAGGAAAAAGATACTCTGACAAAACTTATCTTTAGATAATACTTCACTGGGAGAGATAATACCTAAGGCATCAGTTCTTTTAACTTTGATATTCAGAAATACTGAACTCAGAAAGTCTGAAATTTTGGCCAGAGTGCCCTTGCTGAAAAATAGTTATAGAAAAAAAGGTGCAAAAAATATTTCTCAAATGATATCTGATGGTATTCAAAATAATGCATAGTCTCAAAAATGTATTCTTAGTTCTTCTAATAATATATTATCACAACAAAGCCAAATTTCTTCTACAGTATTACTGCTTACTTTAGCTCAATTATTCGATAAAGTGACTGATGCTAAATATGGTGCAATTCATGCGAATCAGGAAGAAATATTGTGCTGGTGCTAGTATAGAAAAAAATTTATACCTCAAGTTAACGAAGTTACCAAAGATAACAAAATTGGTGAGAAAAAAGTGAAAGAAATTATCTATGATAAAATGTTAGAGAATCTTTCTATTCTCTGTAAAAAGAGATCTGAAGAAACAGGTTTACAACTTCCAAAAATCACATGTAAATACTTGCAAGGGAAAACTTAGAAAGCTGTAAAAATATACAAATTATTTAAAAATTTGGGTATAAACAAAATTAAATATATCACAACTTATAGTGCGAATTCTATTTCAGAGTTAACTAATGACAAATTAAAGAAATCATAGATAGTTTCCCTAAGCAAGAAGATGAGTCACCAACTTCTAAAATTTTAGCTGGGTTCTTGCCAAAATTCAGCTGAGATAAGCAAATTAATCTATTCCTATTACACATGGCTCTAATTCTTTAGGTAATTTATTATTCACACCTCAAATCGCTCCAGCTGAGGTAGAGAATCATAATAACTATGATGAGGTATATTATAATGATGAGGTGTGTTTTGATAATCCCACATCTCAGTCAGAAAAAAGGACTAATGAAGTTCTGATAGTGATTGTAGCTACAACAATGATTCTGAAGAAGAAAGGCTAAATGAATCAGATAATGACAGATATAATGGATATGATAGATATGATGAATATGGTAGATGCAATAGAGGCTATTATTATTGTGACAGAAGATACGAAAGAAAAAGCTCACCAATGATAAGTTCTATTATTTTACCAGTAACTGCTTAGGATGTATACATAATCCAGTTCCTAATTTTCAGATATACAATGATTTTAAATTTATTCCGGGCTATATAATTTATACGATTGACTGTGACATTGATGTCACACCTTAACCAATAAAATAGAGTTGTCTTATTGCACCACTGTAACAATAGATGTCACATCTATTCAAGCACAAATAATAAAATTTTTATTTCAGCATAATATGAGTTAGATATTTATCTCTTGAAAAGAGGTTGCTTTTGTATCTAAACATCGAAATAACAATATAAATAGTGACCAATACTTATTTACACGATTGCATAAAAATAAAAGATGATTAGGAGCCTAGCGGACTCCTTCTTTATTTAATATTTTTTTGCCAGAATGACAATATACATATAAAAAATATATATCGCTATTATAAATGCGAATACAAATAAAAAAAATCTAAATAATTTGTGTTTCTGATCCTGGTAATTGTTCTACAAGTATATGAATAATAATTTGATTAGGATTATTACTGAAAAGAGTATAAAGATTAGTATAAGGATACATATTCACATATCCTCCTTGGGGGCAAAATATAAGAAACTGGTGAGATATGCTAGTTGCACCAGATAGTAATAGAGACAAACGGGCTTGAGCTTGAGTTTCTAATAATTTAACATCACTTCTATTAGAAACTTTGATTTTAAAAAAATAATACGGTAAGCAGAGCATGATGAGACAATTAAGATAAATATATTCATTAGTTTTAGGGTTGGGTTTATTAGTCTTGGAGGTAGTATTATCGTTAGTGCTTATTTTTCATTTCTAAATACAAAAAACATAGTCAGTAAAAAATCAACTTCATAGTCTCCATTAAATGAAATTATATTAGCTAATATGTAGAAAATTACTTAAAAAATTTGGCAAGTAAATCAAGTAAAAAATATATAAGCAAAATAACGTTATTGCTAACTCAACTTATAGGTAGAAACATGCTATTTTATATTGTCCATTCACTAGATCTAAAAAAACTTGCTATAAAAAAAATTATATGATTAGTAATTACGTTACTCTAACACAATATCAGATCACACTTAACAAAGAAACTCTGCTCAGTAATAACTTCCAACACCAGATCTATTTTATTGTTTTTTTCTGGTAAAATTAACTTTCTTAGATTCAACGATCTCTCCTGTGAAGTAAAAATATCAACGATCTCAACGATCTGTAAAATTTTAAATTCCTGTAACATATAAATTTTGGTAAAACTATTAATTAAGAATATTATACTTTTTGCCCCAATAGCCTTTTTAAGTCTTTTTCTTATTGTAGGATCTTATGTAATAAGAAAAGATACCCGGAAGATCCAGATAACGACGGTTCTCTAACGCTTAATCTGAGGGCTTCTGAACCTTGCGGAGCCGTGCAAGCTGGGCATACGGTGATCGCTATAGAAGACATTTCTCATGTGGTTTCACCTCCAACATCATTAGCCTCCTATGAAACACAACCAATATCACTTTCCCAAAACCTAATCGACCAGCCTCCTACAAATTTCAACTCTGATAACGAACTACTTCCAGACTCTAACCTAGACAATAATTCACTACACAGCCTTGATGATTCCCAACCCGAAACTATTACACAAATAACTGAGGATCTAGGCCCTATAGACCCCCTTACATGTTATAACAAGTTTCTCTTTTACC